GCTCTCTCAATGTTGCATGAGTGATGGAGTTTCTTTCATCTCCCTGGCTTCCACTCTTACCTCTAATTCCTGATCCATACATATCTTGTGGAGTGATAGGTAGTCACTGCCACCACTGAGAGGACACAGGAGGAGAAAAGGGGGCATGGTATTACAGCAAACAGACAGCCTCAGGAAATGAAACTTTAGCCCCTCCAATCCAATAGGACTAGGTGTGGTCCTCAAAGGGCCTGGGTCAGACTCTCCTGAGTGCTTGTTAAAATGTATATTCCTGAGTTCTATCCCCGATCCACCTAATCTGCCTCCCTAGGGGTAGAAGCCAGAATTTTGCATTTTAAACAAGTCCTGCTGGTGACCACCTGTGCTCAGTTCCTGTCAGGGATCCTTTTTAACTGCAACGGCTCCAAATGAAATTGACTTTTTCTCATGTGTCAGTGTCCACAATAAATAAAAAATGAACTTAAAATTTTATTTTATTGCTTCCCAGTACTGCTCCTTGACCAAAGTCTACTGTGCAGTTTGACATATTGTATATATCTATTTTATGGTGTTCGAAATAAAAATTGCTTTCATAGAAAAAGAAAAAAAAAAGATCACAGGCTCTGACATAAAACAGACCCAGTTCAAATCCTGGCTCTAAGTGTGACCTTGGGCGGGTTACCTCTCTACTGAGCCTTCTCTTTTGCATTTAAAATGGGGATCATAATACTTCTTAGCTATGTGATGAGGATTTGCAATATTAAGAAACTGCTTAGTCCAGTGATTGGTTCAGGTTAGGTGCTGATTAGTCTTTATCACCCTTATTGTGTTAGGCTTCATCTCATTTAACATTCACAGTATCTATGTGACACAGAAAGCCATTTGAAAGATTGCTTGATATTTAGAACTGTGTTCAGATTTCAAGTGAATTGGAGAATGAGTGCCTATTGACTTAAGCAAGTCTTGTATCATTTAATGGTACCTTGGTAAGAATTATCAATGAATTGTCTTTCATGATCCTACTTGAGGGTCCTAAAGAAAGAGTCAGGTGCAGGAAAGTAGGCATGGAATTTGGCATCATATGTGCCCATTGTTCTTCTCCTAGCTCTGCCACTCATTGCCTGTGGGAATAGGAGATTTAATTAGGCAAATAAAATTTTTTCTCATTGCTAAATGGAGCAGACTGACAGATCTCAGAGGGAAGGAGAGTGGGAGGATGAGAAGAGATCAACCAAAGAATATATATGCATAGCCCATGGGCTACAATAATGTGGTGAAGGTGTGTGTGTGGGGGGGAGGGCATTTGTAATAGAGTCAAAAAAAAAAAAAAGAAAAATGGGTAAAAATGTTTTCCATTGCTAAATCTTACCTGTGTGTGTGGAATCCTTTCAGTGATACAAACTAGTTCACTCCCCTAGTTCTATTTGTCCACTCTAGCCATAAATGTCCACTCTAGAGGAATGTAAAATTGGTAAGCTATATATACATGCAAATGCAATAGGAGTCAGCAAATTTTTTTTGTAAAGTTTCAGATAATAATATTTTAGACTTTTGAGGGCCATGCAGTATCAATTCAAACTACTCATTCTGCTTTTGTAGCACAAAAGCAACCATATAAAATATGTAAGCCCTAGCCAGTTTCCTCAGTGGATAGAGCATCGGCCTGCAGACTGAAGGGTCCCAGGTTCGATTCCCGTCAAGGGTACATGACCGGGTTGTGCGCTCGATCCCCAGATGGGGCCATGCAGGAGGCAGCTGATCAATGATGCTCTCTCATCATTGATGTTTCTATCTCTCTCCTCTTCTCCCTTCCTCTCTGAAATCAATAAAAATATATTTAAAAATAAAATTAAATATGTAAGCAAATGAGTTTGGCTGATTTCCAATAAAACTTTCTTTACAGAAACAGATGACAGGCCTTTGTTTGCTAACTCTTTTTTTTTTAAAGTCAGTGGGATGAATCACTTTTTTATTTTATTTTATTGATTTTTTACAGAGAGGAAGGGAGAGAGATAGAGAGTTAGAAACATTGATGAGAGAGAAACATTGACCAGCTACCTCCTGCACACCTCCTACTGGGGATGTGCCTGCAACCAAGGTACATGCCCTTGACCGGAATCGAACCTGGGACCTTTCAGTCCACAGGCCGACGCTTTATCCACTGAGCCAAACCAGTTTGGCTGTTTGCTAACTCTTGATTTATATCCTCATTCTCAACACCAACTATATGTCAGATACCTAGTAAGCATTGAGGATAGCAAAGTAAACAAGATCCAGTATTTATCCTGAAAGAGCTCTTGGTCTTATGGGTGAGTCAGGCACATAAATAGGTAATCAAAATGCAGGGTGATATTCCTTCATAGAGGCATGAATGCAGTGTGTTTGCTCTGTGACAATGGAGACCCCTGTTGTGTGTTATAATGATGGCTCTACTTCTGTCTTAGGAAGAGTCTTTTTGGTCCAATGAATCTTATCAAATTTGTTGATAAAGGTTTCACCTCATATATCCTTTTTGTTAATCTTAATTATTTCATAAAACTCTTATAAAATGATTAGAACAAATGGGTTTATGTAAAAATGGGATTCTTTTATTATTGTGTCCATTCTTAAGTTCCACAATAGGAAAATTCAGCTTTGTAGCATTCCCTTTTTTCAGTAGATTTCCTATAAACACTAGGGCAATGAGAGAACCAAAGGAGGAACACTGTGGTCTGTCCTGCATAATGGGAAACTGGGCCCTATTTTTTCACTCAGCAATTGTGTGCTGAGGGCAGATCCCTTGGACTTCCTCTTCTTCAGTAATTCTGCTGCAGAATAAGGGGCCCAGCTAGCCCCTTATGATTTCCAACATCCCTTCCAGCTCTACAGCTGTGGTTGGTACATAAATATGCAATGTGTATCTACTTGCTTTTCACTTAAATTTTCTGTGCTTCAGTTTCATCCTGTGCAATGGTGGGTGGAGTGGACTAGTGGTTCTCAGAGTTCTTCTTTATTTTAGTTATACTTAGAGGCTAAGACTGGATCTTCTCAGGGCATGTTTTTTTTTGGGTTATACTTGGGGCAAAACCCAAGGGGAAGGGCTCTGGCCAGATTGAAAAGTGGGGAAAGTTAAGAGTCCTGAGTTCTGAATGCCCAAGTCCTGCTTGATTTAGGAAGTCTTTTTGTAGGAGGGTTATCATTTATAGTGGTCATCTCCCATCAACTCACCTCCCCCACTTTGTACCCTGGCACTAACAATGTGTCTAGATGCCTTTTTTTTAGGAGTCTAATTCTGCTCTGTTGCTGCCGAAGGAAGTCAGCAGACAGTCAGGAAGGAAGGCAGACTTGTGTATGGACCATCTTCTGTGTGCATAGCCATGTTCTAGCAAGGGAGTATAGTATAATGGTTAAGGGCACGACTTCTGGTGTCACTGTGTGGACTCCAATCCCAACTCTATTAGTCATGGCTGTGGAGAATCTAAGCAAATAATTGAATCTTTCCGCACCTCAGTTGAACCATCTTTAAAGTGGGGAGGACAGTAGTACCCACCTCAAAGGTTTTTGTGAGAACTGAGTAGATAAAGAAAAAAGTTAGTGCATTTTTTATTAATGTTATCTGTTATTATCATCCTGAGTTATACAGAACTTATGGATGAGGGTGGGAGTGTGGAACAGAGGTAAGTGTCCTTCCTGGCCTGGGAGGCCGGATGACTAGGCTTCCTTTCTTGGCCTGCCACTGGCTTGTTGTGTGATCTAGGTCAAGTTTCTGCACCTTTATGGTCTCAGTTTCCCAAACTCCTTACTCTTGCTCATTTTTTTCAATTTGAGCTTTTTCTGAGTCAAACAGATTCTGTTCAGGCTGTGCACGTAAGTACAGGAAGAACACAGAGTAAAGTAAACGAGAGTAGAGAAGGAGGAACAAACAGATCCTGAGGGAGTGAGCTGCCCACTGGCAAAACCACCAAGAAGGCAGAAACTGTCTTTGGGGCTCTGGGTTCTGCCCACTTTCCCCTCTTTCCTTCCTTTCCCTTTGCCTATCAATCTGCCTTCTTGCCTCTCTCCCTCTTAGCAAACCCTGTTCTTAGGCTGTGCAGGGCAGAGGGACAAAGAGCACTAGATGGAGTGAACTCCCAGATCTAGTTCCTGCTGCTCTGGAAAGCATTCTTGGGGACCCCTAATCTTTGTTCTGTCCACCTCTTCCCAGCCCCAGCACCTCCTCATTCTACTGTCCCTGCCTTTCTTCCCTCTCGCCTTCCACTGACCTTGGCCATACCTCTATAAGATCACTTATAAGGCTATATTGTAATTCTTTTTGACAACCAGTTGCTCCCAATAACCTGTGAGCTTGGGTGACTAGGTGTATGTGTCTGTTTCATCTCAGTGGTGTCCAGCACCTAGCTGCGGGGGTCAGTGCTGAGCAGGTGATCTGAAAAGTGAACTCAACCAATTGGTTTCCCACATGAATGGAGGAACAAATGAGAAAGAAAAGCATGGACTGGATTCCTACCTGCTGCTCCCTTGGCTTTGTGGCTTAGGCAAGACAGGTGTTTTCTTTGGATCTTCAGTGTCCCCCTCCCCATAACATGAAAGGATCGAAATGATGGACTTCTGAAGTACCTTTTAGCTTTTACTTTTTTTGGCTTTAAAAATATATATTTGCTCAGTTGTCAGGATCTGATGATAGTAGCTTTAAGTTATGTTCCTCTCAAGTATATTTTCTTTTAAATAGGAATCATAGCTTTTCTTAGTACACAAGATAAATTTCCATCTCCTCCAATCCAGATCCTAAAGATTTTGTGTCTCAGTGGTTACAAAGTATATTCTATGTTTTTGATCATGGCAAATCTGTAAAGAACCCTGTTTGTGGCTTTGCCTAATCTAGCTCTTCTCTCTCTCCCTCTCCCTCTTCCTCTCCCTCTCCCTCTCCCTCTCTTTTTCCCTCTTCCTCTCTCCTTCCCTCCCTCTTTCTCACCTTTCTTCAGCTTGAAATCACTGAGCAGGCCACCCTCTGTGCCTTGGTGGCCCCATCCCTTGCTGTTACCATGGAAACTCTCACCAGCTGCAAGACTGCCTCCCTCTCTGAGCTGGTGCCCAAGGGTTACCTGACTCAGATCTTCCAAAGCTGCCCTGAGGTAGAAGGCCTGGCTGGGGAGGTGGAGCCGGAGGATTCTGAGCAGTATGACTTGAGTTCCAGGGATGAGAGTGGTCAAAACAAGAAGAAAAACAAAGTCAACAAGATCTGGAATTTTGTGAGTCGCAGAAAAGGGCCTTCCTGTCAGGGGAAGCGACCCCAGTCCATGATTTTATTGGGAGACACCTCTAAGTCATCAGAGTTGAAACCTAAAGTCACGTTAATGGATCGGATGAAATCTTTCAAGAGGTTGAAGACTTCCATTGGGGCCTCTAAGAATACTGCTCCTAGGAGCAGCAAGCCCCAGGAACCCCAGGAGTTCTCAAGTAATTACCACGTGAGGAAGGCTGAGCAGACCCCAAAGCCCTTCCGCCATTCTTATGCAGGCCACATTGAGGTCCTGGAGCCCTTCCTTCCAGAGGCACAGAGGCTTGTGCACACCCCCAATAGGGAAAATCAGAAAGAGTGGACCTTCAAAGACTCTGGTATTCAAGTGGAGGAAGGACCTTGTGAGAAAGAGGCCCCTGGGCAGCCTGGTGGCAGAGGCGGCAAGTGGGCTAGGAGCTATCTGAAAAACATGTTCCCTGGGGACCCTGAGGCTCTACAAATATCAGCCAGAAACTCCAGAATTCAGGAACTCAAGGTCATCATTGAGGGCTCCAACTTGGAAGGGAACGTGGAAGAAGGCTATGAGGAAAGTCCTGGGCACCTGCGCCGAGACAAGGCTACATCTTTTGGTGGTGTTGTTAAGTTTTTCAGCAACATGGCCGAGGTGGCCCGCAAGTGGCGGGCATTCTCCCGAGAAGAGCCCCAGATGGGCTGCCAACGCCGCTGCCACCCACGCCGCGAGGCCTACTTGGTCCGGGACACCCAAGGCTTCATTCTGAAGGGTGCTGTTTCCCAGGACTACTCCCAGGTAAACTTGCCCTTCAGGCCCCCTGAGGTTGCACTGTGTGGCAGTGCCATTGGGAGGCACCAGCACTGCCACCTCAATGCCTCACAGGCCTCATGCACCTTTCAGATGAGCATTGAAGGAAAGAAGATGTTGGGCCAAGCCTTGGAAGATCACTGTTCTACTGCTGCCTTGGCCTGGATGTCAACCTCCACTGCCTTTGAATTCCAGAATGATCCCACCCCACAGAAAGGCTACAGTTGCCACTACAATGCTGCCTTCACCAGGGAGCACTGCTCCTCTGAAGAGCTTGAAGAAGATACTGAGACTGTAGTCAACTTCCTCAAGGAAGATGACAGTGCTGGAGGGTCCCCTGAGCTCGGCACCTGCTCCAGGAGGGCTGTCACTCAAGCTGTTGTGGAGAAGCTAGAGGAGAACCTCAGCAAGATGGAAGAGCAAGAAGCCAGCAGGGGGCCCACAGGGTCCAGTCAGGCAGGACAGCCCCACAAGTCTGATTTGGATATGGATGCAGCAGATACAGAGAGTGAAGCCAGCAAGGCCTGCACTGGAGTTTCCAATACTCAGGTAAGAGGGGAACTGTCTTTTCAGATCACCATTTGAAACATTCAGGACCCCAGAAGTCAGCTAAACTCCTGTGCCCTCCCCACAACCTCACCTTCTACCAGGAATGTCCTGGAAGGAATGCCCCTATCAGTCATTGACTGATCCTAAATCCCTGGGCAACTTTTGCCCCCTTTTTGGCTCAATTCCTGCACTTGCACCTCAATTCAGCCTTGAACCAAAACTGTAGCTCTGGGAATGGCAGCAGAGTGACCAGGGTCATTTAACGACACCCAAGACAGCCATGGTCTCCTGTGGGACATTTCCCCTCTTTGCCACCTTCCTCTCTCCCACCAACAGTAGCTGAATCCAGAAATTGGTATCAAGGAAAGCCTCTAAGCTGAGTGTAAGATGACCTGGATTTGTGTCCCAATACTGTGCCTGACTATCTGTAGGACTCTGAGACAAGTCCTGCCATCTTGCTGGACCTCAGTTTCTCTATGGAGGGAAGGAGGCTATCTTGGTGTCTCAAAGATCTCTAATACCTTCTTGTAACAAGACTTTGTTATTTGACCTGAAGAATGTAGGCAGACAGCCCAATAACATTCTTCTCCCAGCATTCATTGAGTGGTAGCTTTATATCCATCCTCTTACAGGTGCTGTCACATACATTGTTTTGATTTAATTTTTAAAGTAACCTTGTGAGGTGAAAGTGGTTTTCCTTATTTTACCAGTGAGGAAACAAGCTCAGAGAGGTTGAGTCACTTATCCAAAGTCATACAGATTGTAATAGAATTTGGATTCAAATCACACTTTTGACTTCAAGTCTAGTGCCCTAGTCTAGCTGTCTATAGTTTTCAGAGTGTCTCATTATAGTGGTGATAAACAGGTGCTCACCACACCCCCATTCAAGGACAAAGAAAAATGTACTAGAATTGTAGTAGGAGGAATGTTAAATAAACACTAGAAGGGATTATTTGGCTTTGAGACTTAAGAATCTATATAATAAAAGTATAAGCGACCGTTAAGGCAGAACAACCAGAACGACCAGTCACTATGATGCACACTAACCACCTGGAGCAGACGCTCAATGCAGGAGCTACCCCCTGGTGGTCAGTGCGCTCCCACAGGAGGAGTGCCGCTCAGCCAGAGGCTAGGCTCATGGCTGGTGAGCACAGCAGCAATGGTGGGAGCCTCTCCTGCCTTCGCAACAGCGCTAAGGAGCAGTGAGCTGAGCGGTAAGGAGCAATAAGCAGGCGGGTGGTAAGGAGCAAGGGGTCCCGGTCTGTGAGAGGGCACAGGCTGTGTTGAGGGATGCCCCCCCCAGTGCACAAATTTTGTACACTGGGCCTCTAGTGTTTTATAAGGGGGTATCTTATAGTTTCTCCAGTAATTTTAAGGCAAAGTATTTTTAAGGGTAGTTAATTAAAATTCTCCTTCTTGGTTGTTGTTGTGGTGGTGAGGTAGTCTAGCTTGATAATTCTCAACCTGTCCTGTCATCCCTCACATTCCACTTTCAGAGAGCTTGGCCCATCAGGACAGAAGCAATCAGACTGCTTTTTCTGAGGACATTAATATGTTTACAAACATTCTCTTCCTACATGTATCATTTTTGGTAAGCTTTAAGGACATAAAATTTGGCATAATACTGGGATTAAATTTCATGTCAGTGGTTTTAAGACCAACAGTCAAGCAAGCAAATGTACCTAATTACAATTGGGTACTGTATGTCCAAGGTTACCAGTCACTAGGAAGAGGTTCACAGATGAATTCATCTCCTAACTACAGGACTGTGTGGACTGAGCACGGAGGTGCCGTGTGGTGCATTCTTCAAAAGCACAGGCTTTGGAGTCACAAAGGCTTGTGTGTAATTTGTTCTCTTATCTGCGAAATGAGACAAAACACTGCCTACCTAAGAGGGCTGTTGTGGGGAATCAAAGGAGCCAGAGTATATAAAGTGCCCAGCCTAGTACTACTCATGACACACTCAGGGCATCCATAGCTGTAGCAGTTATCATTATTATTGAAATTTGGTAAATTATTAAAAACTGTGACAACATGCATCCAGAGAAACAATCTAAAACAGTACGGTAGCAGCAGCTAGTTAATGGGGTAGAAGAAGCCATGTCTGAGGTCAGGAAATTGGCTTCTAGTGTCATTTCTACCCGCTACTTGTTTTGTGACCTTGAGACAGGTCCTTCCCCTCTCTGGGCCATTTGAACCAGAGGCTGCATAGTTAATTCCCAATTATCCTTTTTCTTTGCCCTTCTCTAGTTTTTTCCTCCCAGCTTAGCCAATAATTGTTTCCCTGAGTCCAGTGAGAGACGCCCAGTGGCTTGTTTTAGAATGGCTCTCCTTGGCAAGCTTCTTGTTTCCTCTGCTGAATGCTAGGAGATGCTGGTTATCTTTCTTTGGGGTGTTAAACACCAGCCCAGACAAGCACTTGGATCCAGGGAAAAAGCAAAGTGGAGTAGGAAAGCTGAATGTCAGGGGACGTTGATATAGGTCAGAGATCCTGTTGACCATTTGGTCCAATCACTTTATTTTCCAGATGATGAGGACACTGAGTCCCACAGAAGGGAAAGGATTTCCCCTAACAAACAAGAAAGTGAAAGTCAAGTAGGTACCCAGAGTTCAGAGTTCCAGTCTTGGCTCTGCCACAAATACTGACAAGCCTCCTTCTCCTTTTGGATTTTTGCAGCCTTCTCTGATAACTGGAAATCCTCATTCTTCCCTCAAATACCTTGTACATCTATTATAAGGCTAAACTGAGATAATGGATATGAAAGCAATGCATTCTGTATGCAGCAAAGGCCACAAGTTTGCAATGGATCATTATATGCAAATGGAGATGAAAAACCTGGTCCTTTGTGTTTCCTAGGGAAACTGGGCTTTGGTCAGCTTCCTCAAGGGTGTTTTATTTTTGAAGTGTATTTACTCAACCCTACAGAGCTAAGTGGATCCAAAAACTCTAGCTGCTTTGGCACAGAATTGATTGTGGCCAAGCCTAGGGCTGCTCTTGTAACCCAGGAGGGGGTGCAGCTTCAAGGGCAAGATGTCAGAAGGCTGGGATATGGTCTCTTCCGAAACCTTCATTTGGGGGATTTTTCAAGGGTCATTGGGGACTAAAACTTCTCTGAGGGGAGTAATATTAATAATTCTAGCTAACATTTATATAGTACTTATTATGTGTTCAGATGCTCTCAGAACTTTACCTGTATGAACTTATTTTGTCTCATAACTACCCTATGAAGTTAGGGACTACCTTTAAAATGAGTGTGATAATAATACCCACCTTACAGGTTTGTTGCAAAGATGAAATGAGTAAATACACTTAAGTACTTATATAACAGTTTGTGACTAAGAGTCATGGCACAACAAATGTTAGCTATTTGCATTAGTTATTAAAAGCACTTGTCCCAGGAAGGGACTGTACCTCAAAACTGTCATTAGTTAACATCTTAGTGAGAATTAGTAAAATACAAGTTGAAGGAGGAAGGGGAATAGGCATTCTTTAGATTTGTACAGGACATTATTCTTTTCAGAGTGCTTTCCCAGATATAAATGAATTTGCAAAACTTCTGTAATGTTAACGTAAAAAAACCATTGAAAATTGTAAATAATTTTTGTGAGTTTATTTGAGCCAAATTGTCGACATATGCCAGGAAGCAGAACCTCAGTGAATTGAGATAATGCTCCCGAGAATGGCGGGTTACATTTGTATTTATACATTGCAATCAAAGTAGGTGGGTTACATGAAACTCATTGGTGATAGATTAAGGAGGAGGGATAAAGCAAAGCAGGGAAAACCCCTGGGATTGGATAAAAAGTAAAATGATGGACACATACATAGGTGGGTGCAGGATCAATTAACATGATAATGAAGGAATTTGTGGTATCTGTCCTGGCGCCCAGTACATTAGGTTGTGCCCCAGGGGCTCCAGAAAAAGGGAAGTTACAAGTTACCCAGACATTTCAAGGGTATGTTATCATAGATGCAAAAGACAGATAGGCTCAGTTAAGGTAAAGGTCGACCTTGTCAGTGAAGATACTGGCCTAGGACATAACTGCCCACCATAACTGCTTTTAAAGTTTAATTTCAGACCATTCTCTTTGTGGTCTTTAGGTCTCTGAGTTTGCAAGACTGCCATGCAGGCCTCTCCTGAGCTTGTCAGGTCAGCATGTGGCCCCTTTCGTCCACACTAATTATAATTATTATTATTATTGCTATTCTGGTATGATGGATGAGGGACTTGAGGTATTATATCTGAGGGACAAAACATTGAAGTTGGAGTCAAAATGCCTACTTTCAAAGTCCTGGTTCTTTTACTTTATTGGATATGAGATTTTTGATAAATCATTTTCAAGCACTTTGATCCTTGTTTTCCTTCATTTGTCAACTGGAAATAGGAAGTCTTCCCTGATTTCTTCCTAGAGTAGAAAGAAAGCATAGATATATTGAATACCCACTATGTGCTTTTACTTCTGTTCTCACTTGATGTCCCTGGTGTCTTTGTTGTATTGATCTCATGACCACTATCCTATTGTATTATGCTTCTGCCTACAAGTGATACTCATAACCATACTCAGAATTGGGCAGTGGCTATTTTCCACATTTTACAGATGAAAAGACTGAGCCTTGTTTGAGGATACAAAGGGAGTAAGTGGTAGGTGCAGAATCAGGATACAGGGATCCTGGCCCTTTTGTCAGTGCTGGATCTACACTTCCTCTCACTCCATTCTAGAATCTATTGAGAATTACTGAGCCCAATTTCCTGTTACTTAGCTGCTGTTCATTTCAAAGCTGTTTGCACAACCTATGGGCTGTGAAGGAAACTACAGTCAGATTTTATCAAATTTTCAGCTATCCTGGCCTCTCTTCTCTGTACCCCGCCCCCACAATAAATCTGTATACACACTATGGGTTCAGCTTCTCCTTCCTAGTGATCCCCCACGGCAGAATGCAAGGGAGGGGTAGGTGGGGCACTCCCTGAGTGAACAAGGTTGTCACCCTGCTGTGGGTTCTGTTGTCCAGATCCTCAAGAACACTGGACAAAGAATAAACTCCAAAATGGGTACTATATCAAGGTGTTTCTGGACACACCAAATTGTGAACTCGATGCTACAGGAGCTCCAATATGGGCAGCCAGGTAGTAGATTTTCTTTATAGACATTATGGGCTACAGGAATTGTAACCTTAGTTCCAGATGGGCCTTAGCTAAAGTGCAAATGGTGTCTTCCACCTTTTATTTTTTTACCTCTTCCAGCTCTGGGGGGGTCCCTGCCCCTGTCATCTAAGCTTTGAGCTGCTTAGTTCTGGTCCTGCCCCAAGCTGCAGTTTCTTTCTGTATTGGGAAGAATTGTGTCCACCAAAATATATCTTCAAGTCCTAAACCTCAGTTCCTGTGAAGTTGACTTTGTTTGGAAATACGGTCTTTTCAGATGCAATCAAGTTAAGATGACATCATACTGAATTAAAATGGGCTCTAATCCAACAACTGATATCTTTATCAGAAAAGGAAAATTTGGACACAGACAATGACACAGGGCCTCAGTTCCTTTTTCCCCATAACTTTTACTGTGTATAGGATGAACTGACTTTGATAGTTGGTCTCTGCTCTTGGAAATTGGGTTAGCAAATGGGCAGAGATCCTTCCCTGGGTCATTCAAACTGTTAACTGTTCCTTACATCCAGTTGTTTAAGTGATGAATGATGCAGGTGAAAGAAACCTGTACTGTGTTCTAGTGGCTTAGCAATGTTAAAGAGGAATTTGAAGGATGAAGGGGCCCAGGAATTACTTTTATCTTGTTAGAAATACAGCAGGTCTGTAGTCATATAGCCCTAACATTTACAAGTTGTGTGACCACTGGAAATTCATTTATCTGTTCTGAGCCATGGTTTCCTTACTGTAAAATGGGCTAATATCTACCTTTTGGTGTAGTTATAAAGACTAAACAAGATAGCATAAGTATACTTATCAGGATATCTGACAGATACGAGGTATTTCACAGATGTTAGTTCCTTTTCTCTTTTTCCATTTGGTGGTCAGGATTTTGGTAAAGTAAGAAGGATTTGGGATGAAAACAGCTATCTATGTTAATATCAAAAGAGAGAACTTGTATGTGGTCTTAAGATGTTCTTCTGGAAAGTTAAGATGTTCTCTCTCTTTCTCTCTTTACCTCTCTCTCTCCCTCCCTCCCTTTTTGCCCATCTCTCTCTCTCTCTCTCTCTCTCTCTCTCTCTCTCTCTCTCTCTCTCTTACTATGGGTTCTATGTGTATTATCTCATTTCCTCATCCTAGCAACTCTGCACGGTAGGTATTATCACTATCCTTTTATGCAGATGAGGAAATTGAAACTCAGACAGATGAATTCATTTTCCCCAGGTCTCACATTGTGTAAAGGTTCATATCTATAGCAAATGCAGAATCCTCACTTCCCCAATCCCAGTACAAACTAAACACACAAGAAATACCCAAGAAAGGAGAAACAAATAAGTGCTATTTCTTTAAGCTGATTGACTAATTTTCATATTCTCTACTGCCTGGTGTCTTTTAGGCTCTTTATAGTTGGATGTTTGCTTGGATTTGGATGCTGGACCATATGATACTTTAAAATGGAAAGTTCTGCTGTATAAACCAAGTGTTAGATTACTCCCAACCCCCATTGAGTTACTAATCCTGATTAGTTTTCTTTGCAGGCTTTCTTACCCCCAGCTGAACCATCACCAAAAACTCTACCCCTCAAAGTCCTCCTGGCAAAATGCCAATCTCTGCCTATCTCATGGAGTGATCCTTTGGAGTTGGATCAAATGTACTGGAGGAGACGCAGGAAGCTTTGCACAGGTATGCATTTTATGCCCTGGTTTCTGTAGCATGACATGTCAGGCAGACCTCAGGTATAGATAGACTGTGTTGACATTTACCCTCATTCCCCCTTGTCTCCTCTCAGTCTCCCAATAGTTTTCCTCATTGGTACCTGAAAATCCACTGTTCATGTTGCTTTGGTATAGACTTTCCCCTCTCCATGTTCTTCTTTTAACGTGCAAATATCCTCATTTGGAAGGCCTTTTAACTGAGCACTTAAATATATCCCCTTTCCAAGGTCTCATTTTACTCCAGACCCTCTGTACCTAATACTTTCCAGGTCTCATAAGCTCCAGTTCCTTCTGTTCACTTTCTTCATAATGCTCTTATAATCAACCTCTTTGTATCAAAGGGGCCAGATGCATAGTCCCCAACCCCATGGAGTCATCCTAGCCCTGTCTCTCTTGCATCTTGCCTAGACTTTAATCTTTGTGGGTCTCAGGTCCTTCCTCTCCCTCACTGACCTCTGACCATGGGAAGCTCCTTAAGGCTCAAGGCAGTTTTATTTAAACCACTCAAAACCTAAAGACTTCCCCCACCAACATATAAGTTACCTCTCAGAGCTTCAGGGTACACCCTTTTAGACTCAGCCCAGTGGTCCTGACTGCCAGATACTTGTCACTCAAAAGTAAATCTCCATCTTCTGGTACAGCTGGGAGGATCTATGCTCTCTTGCCCATAAGCCTAATACCATACCCTAAAAGCCCCCATGCCCCACCCCAGCCCTTTTAACAGAAACATAATTTGCATGAACTCTGAGGACACACAGACCTTGCAGCATTCCTTTCCAAAGTTTTCTATAGTCTCTACAAGCTCTGTGAGCCCTGGTATTACTTCCCCATGCCCCAAAGTTTCCCACAACCCCAAAGGCTGCCGTAGACTTGCTACTTCTCATCTTCTTTTTCTCTTTTATTCTCCTTACTCCCCATGTGGAGGATATGTAGGGTGCTTTGACTTGGAACTTAATTCCAACACTGCAATTCCTTGACAGCATTCCAGGAAGTTAAGAGCCAAAGAAATCAGAGGCTTTGGTCTTTTGTAGCATCATCTCCCTCATAAATATCTGGAAGTCAGGAAGATGGTAAAAGGAGAGTAAATAATTTTAAAAACAGGGAGATAATTCTTCTCTGTCAGAACTAGGAGGGTCCTCTTATTTTGTGAATGGAGAAACAGGCTCAGACAGGGGAGGGACTTGCCCAAGGTCATAAGTCAGTTCATAACAGAATTAGGACTTAGGGCTTCAACCTCCTGACTTTCTACTATTCTAGAGTGTTATATTAACTCCAATTCTAGAGCAAAGTGTTAAATGTTGGACTGCCAAGCCTTGGTTCCATTCAAGCTCATTTCTATTGGAATTACTAACCATATCCTTCCCTGCTGAAAGGAACTGCAGATGGTGGATGCAAACCAAGTCATTTAGACAGCAGAAGATGCCTGCCATGTTTTCTAAGTCCTCTGCCTGGAAACAAGGCATTCTCTCACAATCCAGAGAGGTCAGGCCAGGGTATCTTGCCACAGCTGTTTCCTTTCTTCCTCCCTCCCTCTTTGGAAGTGAGCCCAACCCCTGGCAAGTCAGAGGCTTTTTGGCAGCTGCTACTACTCCACTGCCAAGTGCATCAGAATGCCCCTACAGCCTCTTAGTTGTCAGGAGTGAATAGATGATAGCTTCTTGGAGGACGGCGTAGCAAAGCCAGGGTTAATACCTACCTTGGGGACTGCTCTGGGCTTATTTATAGACCATGGGTGGGAAAATGTACCCCTGAGATTGGCACAGGTCCTGCCATCACCTCAGCAGCCATTCTCACCTCTGGACTATAAATGGATCTCACGTTGTAGCTCTCCTTCTCAAGGACTAAAAATACCCCTAAAAAGGAGGATAACGTCAGAATTCCTTTTGGGAAACCAGTTGTCATTCAGTTCCTCTTATATTCCTGACTCTGCTGGCAATGGTATCTAAGGATCCCATTCCCATTATGTGTAATACCTGCTGTACCTCTATCTTGCTCAGAGCCTGAAATAATTTAGTTTGTTTTCTAGTACTCAATCTCTGCCTTTCTATCTTCCTCCACTCATATTAGACCAGTAGAGAGTAAATGGTTGGAGTTGAGTGTAAAACTTTGGAATTAGATAGAAACCAGGTTCAAATTTCTGGTCCGCCACCTCGGGCAAGTTGCATAACCTCTCTGGACCTCAGTTTACCCATTTGAGAAATGAGAGGCTGTATAACATCTAACTCACAGGATCATTGTGAGGATTGAATCAAATAGAACTGATTAATTTCCCTGCCACAGTTCCTCTCATAGAGAGGTTCTTGGTGGTGGTAGGTTCCCTTTCCCCTCTGCCCTTCACCAATTCCATATGCCCAAGGACTTCCCCCACATGCACACTCACATACACTGCTGTCAGACTCAACCTGAATCTGCCCTAGTACATGAGCTACTTCCTCTCACTATTTATTTATTTATTTACCCACTCATTCAAGAAATATTTATTGAGCAAAATTAGGTCAGTGGAGTTTGTGTTCTTATAGCCTTGTGTGTTGGAAAGGGCGAAAGTTTTGAAGTCACATATACCTGGATTTGAATCTTGGCTCTGTCACTTACTAGATGTATGATCTGGAATAAGTCACTTTACCACTTTGAGATTCAGATTTCTTATCTGTAATATTTGGGTAATAATTTGAACCTCACAGTCAATGCCTTAAGTCTCAAAAAGGCTAATAAACATAAAAGTGCTTTATAGCTCAGAGGTGCTGTAAAACTAGATTGGAAAGATAAAAATGGCAATAAAAATAAACCACTTAGAGATAGGGTTGTGTTTTATACCTATCCAAGTCCCTTACATATAGGCATACCTCGTTTTATTGTGCTTCATTTTATTGCACTTCACAGATGTTGCACTTTTTTTACAAATTGAAGGCAAGATCCTCCGTGAGCAAAAAGATTATGACTTGCTTTATTGTAATACTTATTTTATTGCAGTGCTCTGGAACCAAATCCACAATATCTCTGAGGTGTGCCTGTAGTTGATAGTCAATAAATATCTGTTGGTACCAATATTATAATTCAATATTTACTTTTGAAAAAAAGTAGTGGGGGTTTCTTCTACTTGAAAAGACTAGAATATCCGAAGCAACCCCACTATAGGTATACCTACACATATGTCATTCTACCTCTTGGCTGAGTTCTGCTCAAACCACTTGAAGTGTGGCTGACTCAGAGGCATATTTTGGCAATAACATTCAGATCATTTTCCACTGAGGCCATGACTCTCCAAGTAGGGGTAGCTTTGGATTGGTGTTGATTTATAGCAACAATTTTCAACCTTTTTTTTCCTCATGGCACAGAGAAACTAATTACTAAAATTATGCGACACCAAAAAAATATTTTGTGCTGATCTGCCAAAAAAAAGAATAGGTACAGTTTTGATTTATTCACACTGGGCAGTTATTGTTGTATTTTTGTTGTCATCTGTTTTATTTGACAATCCAAGGGAAAAGAGGCCAGTGTCCCTGACTAAATAATCAGGTATTGCATGTTTTAAAAATTATGGTGGCACACTAGTTGAAAATCACTGATCTAGAGGGTTGTAGGGTACATCTAGAATAACGTATCACCACTTGCTTGAATGTCCCTGCAGCAGTTGGAAATAATCTTAAACAAGACAATGGCTTCTGAGCAGGTAAGAATAAACTGATATATCTTTACCCATTATTTGAGTATTTCTCTGGCGATGGTATCACTTAGCCACAAAGACCTGAATTCTGTTGCTGGGTTTCTGTATGTACTTGTGTGTGGTCAGTTCCAATCATTATTTTTTTTTAAAATTTTGTTTTATTGCTTAAAGTATTACAAAGAGTATTACATATGTCTCCTTTTTTTCTCCCCTTGACCTTCCCCTGGCCTCCTCTACCCCGCAGTGTCTTGTGTCCATTGGTTATGCTTATATGCATGCATACAAGTCCTTCAGTTGATCTCTTACCTCCCCCCACCCAAACCCTTCCCACCCTTCCCTCTGTAGTTTGACAATCATTCTTTTTCTGTAAGCTTCAGTATCTTCATCTCGAAAATGGAAGCAGTGCTGTTTGGCTGTTCTGAGAACACAGGTTTCACTTACTAATTGGGTCTGATTAGATATGTCATTGGTTTCTCTTCCTACTCCATGTTTTTTAAACACAACCACTATTCACATTTCCTTTTAATAGGTAGGTTACAGAAAGGGATGAAAATTTAGAACTCTTTACATTGTTCTGGGAAAGTACTGGGAGGGGCAAGAAATTAGAACTATTGGTGGAAACAAGGTTTTGACAATATATAATTTAAATAACCGAGCTCTTCATGCCATCTAAGACTTCAATTATTAGAGAATTGTCCAGACCTGTAATTCTTACTTTGTAATTCCAGACAAAAGCCTGAGGTTCTTTTTCCCCCAAGATATTCCCTCAGCAATATAAGAAGCTCCACAGTAATTCAGATACTGGCTTTGGAGTTCTTCCTTACTAATTTCAGCCCCTTTTCTCCCCATATCTGGCCTCACTTAAGCATAACCTCTCCTTCCATTCCCCCATCTGCCTCAGTCCTGGTGGTCATTAACCAGGCTTCTCTAAAAGGGGCTGATATCTGGACTCAGCCTAAAGGGTATTCTCTCACAACAGGTAACTTGGACCATGGCTTCAAGACACTAGAAAGCTGCAAGAACATTGGTGGACACTGGAAGCCCCAGGGACCAGGAAACAAGCAAGTCAATGAAGTAAGAACTCTTTCTTAGTTCCTTGGGAACTTACCAGACCTCCAGGACCATTTATTTCCTCTAAGCTTTCCTTTGTTTAGTCATATTGCAAGTGTTGGAGCTTCCAACATGTGTAATGGAAGCAATTTTTAAAATTGGGTTTTGAGCTATTTTATGGCTATATCAAAGTTGGGTGTGTTTACCTTTTTTTCCTGTGGTTAATTTTTTCTATGAGATAAATCAAGAACTTCTTATGGCTTCCATGCAAGCTGCTCCCACCATTGTCTTTGGCTGCCTTTCCCATGGCAGATTTTAAACCATGGATACTTTGGTTTTCTGTTATTACATCCTGCAGGTTCGTGATCATCTTCAGTGTTAATTAGTGGCATATGTATGGGCATTCCCTTAGATAAGATGTTTTATAAATGCAGATATAATAGCTGGTACTTAGGAGTTCAGTGTTAGTAGGCTTTTTTACCTCCGTGTATTTACACCCATGTCTGTTTATGGGAAGTTCTATAAGTGTAGCTTGCTTTCTTTTTTAATTCTCTATGTGGATTAAAAGTGTAGTTTTCTTGCTGTATCTGTATGTGTGTGCATGCCTGCCCATATATGCCTATAAATGCAACTTTGCCCATCGACATGCCTGTAAAACTACTTTTTGGGGTACATGTATGGGTGTCCCTGAATATGACTGCAATGCTTTTTTCTAACTTAACTCTCTGCTTGTGTGTGTGTGTGTGCCTGTTTGTGTGTGTATTTTCCATCCTTTTGTCTGAGTGTATCTTAGGTGTTTTGACATCTGGAGCTTTTTTGTATATGTTTGGAGCTATGCTCCTGTCCACTAGCATCTTTTTACTTGAGGATGTGTACAGATGTGTCTATATCTGCATGAGTCAGTCTATCTGGGAGCAAGTGTATTTGGACATATAAGACTATAGCTCTGTGGCTAAACCTTGGTGAGCAATGGCAGCTGAGAATACAACCCCCCAGAGATATCTAGCTTAGTGGCTTAGCTTTTCCTACTACCACGCTCCCACTAGAATATTCCCTCTCAGAAGTAGCCTTCTAGTCACAGCAGCTCAGGCTTGTCTCATGATAGCCTAGAGACTCTTGGCCAGAGATATGTTTCATGGAGTTGAGGGTTTTGTTGTTGTTGTTGTTTTATTTTAGTTTGGGGGTTGAAAAATGAAGCCCAGAAGAAAAAGTCTATGGCACTGGGCTTGCCTTCTTCTGTTTCATACCATTGCTCAATTGCCAGCCTTCCCTTACTTGGTCCAGATTCAAGTTGGTCCATTCCTCCAAATAAAAGTGCAACAGCAGGCATGTCTGGGCTCTTATTTCATTTCAGCAAGGTCTCTTTTTACTCTGAGAACAAATAATCAGCATTGTCCTAATCAGTAATTTGTGTATGCTCAAAAATAGCAATTAGTCATTTGTGATAAGGCCCTTTCCCTGGGGAAGCCAGCCTTTGAAAGGCCCCAAGAGGTGAAATCCATGGAGATGGTTCCCATAGGATAAAATATCCACACTCTGTGGTTTTAGGGGAGTGATGGGTGTCATCAAGCAAATCTTGGGGAGGGGGCTCTATGGGATCCACAGGGCTTCAAATGTTTAAACAATAGTTTTAAAGCCCTATTCAGCCCTTCATTCTCCTATGATAGCATAATAATATTAATAATAATAATGGCTTAGATCTCTGACATTTTACAAAATGCTTTCAAATCCGAAGTTTTGTTTCACCTCATGGCAGCCTTGTCAATAAATCTCACCCTCCTTTTGTACATGAAAACTCTGAGACTCAAAGAGGGGATATGACTTACCTAAAGGTACCCTGCTGATAAATGATAGAGTCAAACATTCTGTATGACTCCAAATCAGGATGCAGGACCTAGATTGATGCTCTGCCTGCCTTTCAGAACCCGAGACAATCCATACAGGAGCAAAATTTTTTTTCAAGGGACTAACTCAAGATAAGTTAAAAAGAAGTTTAGTGGTAAGTTGCAATATTCAAGACTTCTTACAGAGAGTGGAATTTGAAGGATGATAAGGGATTAAATAGGCAGAGCAGAGGGAAGTAACTGCGTAAAATATATGTGTTATGACCAGGAGTGACCCACTCTCTTGGTCCCCTGGAACACTCAGTTCAGGCTGGTCTCTTACTAACAATATCAGGAGTCAAAGGGAGCTACTCTTCACATGCATGCATACCTTAGAGCTAAGAGAACACTTTGAAGCATATAGTGCCATTTAAATCCCACAGCTACCATGGGAAGACTATGTTACCTCCATTTTTCATATGATAAGATAAAATTGAAAGAAAAGAAAGGACTTTCCTAAGGTCAAAAAAATAAGTTCATAACAGACTCAGGGTGGACCTTCTGGTGGCTCCAAGCCCAGTTTCCTGATATCTATTTTCACTTAGGAAAGGTGGCAGGGTATCTGCTGTAGGTCTTAAAGGATATAGACCTAGCCATATAAATGCTGTCTATAAGAGACACACCTCAGAACAAAAGAGTCACACAGAATGAAAGTGAAGTAATAGAAGAAAATATTACATACAAATAGAAAAAAAAGCTGGTGTGGCAATAATTATATCTGACAAAATAGACTTCAAAACAAAGGAAATAATAAAAGAGACAAAGGAGATCAATACATAATACTAAAAGGATTGATCCAACAAAAGGATAAAACCCTTATAAACATATATTTACCCAATATAAGAGCAACTAGATATATGAAGAAAATGTTGGTTAAGGGAGGGATCGATAGCAATACATTCATAATAGGTGATTTTAACACCCCACTGTCATCACTGGATAGATCTTCCAAAGCAAAAAAAAAAAAAAATCAACAGCAGAAACCTTAAATGACACACTATAGCAGATGGATTTAATTGATATTTACTGAACATTGCATCACAAAGCAGTAGAATATACATTATTCTCAAGTGCAAATGGAATATTTTCAAAGACAGATCACATGTTAGGACACAAAATAAGTCTTGAAAAATTCAAGAAGATTGAAATCGTATCAAGTATCTTCTCAGATCACAATGGCATGAAACTAGAAAGCAGCTACAGTAAAAAAAAAATCAAAAAAATCAAAAATATTCAAACCTATGGAGGCTAAATAGCATGTTATTAAATAATGAATGGGTTAACAATGAGATTAGGAAGACATAAAAAAATTACCTTGAAACAAATGAGAATGAGCACACAACAATCCTAAATCTATGCGACACAGATAAAACATTCCTGAGAGGGAAGTTCATAGCCTTACAGGACTGCCTCAATAAAGAAGAAAAAATTATTAATAAACTATCTAGTCCTACAAATTAAAGAATTAGAGAACAAGAAAAGCCCAGAGTAAGTAGAGGGAAGAAAATAATAATTATTAGAATGGAAATTAATGATATAGAGACTAAAAAAAAGTACAAAAGATCAATGAAACCAAGAGCTTGTTCTTTGAAAAGACAAACAAGTTTATGAATCTTTAGCCAGCCTCATCAAGAAACAAAGAGATGGGACCCAAATAAATAAAATCAGAAATGAAATAGGATAAGTAACAACTGACACCACAGAAATACAAAGAAATGTAAGAAAACACTGAACAACTAATTATAGGCCAACAAACTGGACATCCTGGACAAAATGGACTAATTCCTAAGAACATACAATCTTCCAAAACTCAATCAGAGAAAATCTGAATAGTCTGATAACAACTAATGAAAATGAAATAATACTTTAAAAACTGCCAGATAACAAAAGTCATGGACAGGATGGTTTTACAGGGGAATTTTATCAAATATTCAAATAAGAACTAAGATCTATTATCCTCAAATTATACCAAAAATTCCAAGAGGGAGGAATACTTCCCAGCTATTTTCATGAGGCCAACATAATTTTTATTCCAAAACCAGATAAAGACACCACAAAGAGAATTACAGGCCAATATCCCTGATGAACATAGATGCTAAAATCCTCAACAAAATATTAGCAAACTGGATCCAGAAATAGGTTAAAAATGTCATATACCATGACCAAGTGTGATTTATTCCAGGGATGCAAGTCTGGTACAATATTCATACATCAATAAATGAGATAAATCATGTGATACATAAACAAATTAAAAGACAGAAATCACATAATCATATCACTAGATGCAGAAAAAAGATTTGACAAAATCTAATACCCATTTTTGATAAAAATAACTCAACAAAGTATAATATAAGGGTCATACCTCAACATAATAAAGGTCATATATAAAAAAACTACAGCCAACATCGTACTCAATGGGCAAAAATTAAAACCATTTTTCCTAAGAACAGGAGCAAACTAGGGTTGTCTACTTTCACTACTCTTATTCAACATAGAACTAGAAGTCCTAGCCACAACGATGAGACAAGAAGAAGAAATAAAAGGCATCCAAATTGGAAAGGAGGAAATAAAACTGCCATTATTCACAGATGACAAGATATTGTACATAGAAAATCCTAAAGACTCCACCAAAAAACTACTAGGTTATTAGTTGAATTTGGCAATGTTGCAGGACACAAAAGCAACACCCAAAAATCAATGGCATTTTTTATACACCAATAATGAACTCTCAGAAAGAGAAACTAAACAAAAAAATCCCATTTACCATTGCAACAAAAAATTAAGATACTTAAGAATAAACTTAACCAAGGAGGCAAAAGACTTTCACTATGAAAACTACAGAAAGTTGAATAAAGAAATAGAAGAAGATATAAACAAGTGGAAGAATATACCGTGTTATTGTTTGGTAGAATTAACATCATGAAAATGTCCACACTACCCAAAGCAATCTATAGATTCAATCCAATCCCTATTAAAATACCAACTGCATATTTCACAGATCAAGAACAAACACTCCAAATATTTATATGGAATCAAAAAATACCTTGAATATTCTCAGTCATGTTGAGAAAGCAGAACAAAGTTGGAGGGATCACAATACAGTGGGGCCTTGACTTACGAGTTTAATTCGTTCCGTGACGGAGCTTGTAACTCAAATTA